ATCGCCACGGACGGGGGCAGCCCGGCGCTGTCGAGCCGCGCGGATCTGGCGCTGGAGGTGTCGGACGTGAACGACAACGCGCCGGTGTTCGAGGAGGCCGCCTACAGCGCCTACGTGCCCGAGAACAACGCGGCGGGAGAGCTGGTGCTGCGCGTGAGCGCGCGGGACGCGGACGCGGGCGCCAACGGGCGCGTGAGCTACGCGCTGGCGGGCGGCGGCGCGGACGCGGCGTTCGTGTCGGTGCGGGCGGAGACGGGCGAGCTGTACGCGCAGCGCTCCTTCGACTACGAGCGGTGCCGCGAGTTCGCCGTGGAGGTGCGGGCGCGGGACGGCGGGACGCCGGCGCGCAGCGCGACGGCGACGGTGCGCGTCTTCGTGCTGGACCGCAACGACAACGCGCCGCGGGTGCTGTGGCCGGCGGCGGGCGGGGCAGGGGGCGGCGGCGCGGGCGCGGGCGCGGGGCCGTTCGAGGTGGTGCCGCGCTCGGCCGAGGCCGGCTACCTGGTGGCCAAGGTGGTGGCGGTGGACGCGGACGCGGGGCGCAACGCGTGGCTGTCGTACGAGCTGCTGCGGGCGCCGGAGCCGGCGCTGTTCCGCGTGGAGGCGCGCAGCGGCGAGGTGCGCACGGCGCGGGCCGTGTCGGAGCGAGACGCGGCCAAGCAGCGGCTGGTGGCCGTGGTGAAGGACCACGGGCAGCCGGCGCTGTCGGCCACGGCCACGCTGCACGTGGTGCTGGCCGAGAGCGTGCGGGACGCGCTGCCGGAGCTGGGCGAGGGCCCGGCGGCCGCCGACCCGCCGGCGGAGCTGCGCTTCTCGCTGGTGCTGGCGCTGGCGCTGGCGCTGCTGTCGGCCGCGTTCCTGCTGAGCGCGGCCGTGACGCTGCTGGCGCGCCTGCGCCGGGCCGGGCCGCCCGCCGTCCTGCGCTGCCTGGGCGCGCGGCGCTTGTCGGCGTCGGGCCCCGCCGTGCCGGCCGACTTCTGCGAGGGTACCTTGCCCTACTCCTACAACCTGTGCGTGGCGCCGGGTCGCGCCGTGGCCGAGGGCGCCTGGCTGCTGCCGCCCGCCTTGCAGCCCAGCGCGGCCGCCGAGGAGCCGCTCGGCGGGGAAAC